TGGGTGGCAGAAAAAGAAGAGGATTCATACCTTTCCCAAGGATATTAGCACGTAAGTGAATGTAATGGATTCGACTGGAATTCGAACTCGGCTCTCCGATTCCTCAATCCGAGCTGCCCGGTCTGTCCTGCTATTCATCCATTGCTGGGTGGGAGAAGAAGAAGAGGATTCATACCTTTCCCGAGGGTATTAGCACGTAAGTAAGTGAATGTAATGGATTCGACTGAATTTGAACTCGGCTCTCCGATTCCTCAATCCGAGCTGCCCGGTCTGTCCTGCTATTCATCCATTGCTGGGTGGGAGAAGAAGAAGAGGATTCATACCTTTCCCAAGGATATTAGCACGTAAGTGAATGTAATGGATTCGACTGGAATTTGAACTCGGCTCTCCAAGATTCCTCAATCCGAGCTGCCCGGTCTGTCCTGCTATTCATCCATTGCTGGGTGGGAGAAGAAGAAGAGGATTCATACCTTTCCCAAGGGTATTAGCACGTAAGTGAATGTAATGGATTCGACTGGAATTCGAACTCGAAAAGATTCCTCAATCCGAGCTGCCCGGTCTGTCCTGCTATTCATCCATTGCTGGGTGGGAGAAGAAGAAGAGATTCATACCTTTCCCGAGGGTATTAGCACGTAAGTGAATGTAATGGATTCGACTGGAATTCGAACTCGGCTCTCCGATTCCTCAATCCGAGCCGCTATCCATTATTCTACCCAAAATATTATCCATTCTAAATAGGTGTCATTATGCAAACACTTTTGAATGGTGACGACAAAGCTGTCAGAAGTAATTCTTCAAAACCTTCAATGCTGAATGAAAAGGGTTTTATTTGAGGGTTCTAATTGAAATTTGGTCCTCTAAACCAATTGAAAGGACACAAGGAAGAACCCATTCTGCAATGTTTTACATCAAAAGCTTCACATTTTTCAAGATCTTGTGATTCAGCTCTTTCATCATTTATATTCTTCATGATGATAAACCTCCTGGAAATAATAAAACTCAGGCAAATGTTGAAGGAATTTATATATCACGGGTATTGATACAACTACAAACACTAGTGAGCAATACACTGCCCAGGAACCAACTAATGAGAGAGAAAAAAAAGAAGATACACCTTGGATGGACCTAAATTTGATAGAAAAACTCAAAATGCCTGACACATTTGCCAAAAACATGTCTGTCGAAGGCATTTGAAAGTATTTAGTGGAAAAAGCAGCGATAAATAGTAAAGTTTTTAAAAGAATGCAATTTGAATTAACTTATTTTAAAATAAATGCAAAGTTCTATTGACATTTTTTCTGTTTCAGTGAATACATCTTGATTAAAATTGTTATTTCTTTGTCCATCTATAACTATATTATTTTAGCATATTTAATATGGGTTATCCCAACCCGTAAGCTCAGCCAAAGATTTCCCGTAGACCCCGCATAAACGAGGTCGGGTAACTGTTTCCCGGGACGAGACTCTGACCTTCAAAATAGCATCGTCTGTGGATACTCTCTGCTCGGAGGCAAAGAGTTTGACCAGCACAGCTTGAGACGAATCTCTAACTTCAGAATATCTAGCAACCGACCCACGCCGTCAGATGTGGCACAAGGTCGAATTTAATGTGGGGTATCCCTACGGACGACAAGGAGTATGTCCCAATTCATATAAATACAGTATTAAATACTGTTTGTTGGTTTGTAGAGGGCGATTCGTCTCCAGCTGTGTTGGTCAAAATCTCTGCCTATGAACAGAGAGGATCCCCCAGACGATGCTATGTCGAAGGGCAAAGTCTAGTCTCTGGAAACAGCTACCTGATCCCGTTTTATACGGGGACTACGGGGAACTTTCGGCCGAGCCTACGGGCTGGGATACCCCACATTAAATTTGACCATGTGCCACATTTGACGGCGTGGGGTGGTTGCTAGATATCCTGCAGTTGACGATTCGTCTCCAGCTGTGCTGGTCAAACTCTTTGCCTCCGAGCAGAGAGGATCCACAGACGATGCTATTTTGAATGGGAGAGTCTCGTCCCGGGAAACAGATACCCGACATCGTTTATGCGGGGTCTACGGGGAATTTTTGGACGAGTCTACGGGCTGGGATACGCCACATTAAATTCGACCTTGTGCCACATCTGACGGCGTGGGGCGGTTGCTAGATATTCTGTAGTTAGAGATTCGTCTCCAGCTGTTCAAACTCTTTGCTTCCGACCAGAATGTATCCCCAGACGAGATTATATCGAAGGTCAGACTCTCGTCTCGGGAAACAACTACCCGAGTCTGTTTTATACGGAGTCTAGGGGGAATTTTGGCCGAGCCTACAGGTTTGGATACTCCACATTATATTCGGCCTTGTGCCACATCTGACCGTGTGGGGCGGTTGGTAGATATCGTACAGTTGGAGATTCATTGTGGAATTCACTTGACTCATTTCTATCAATTGGCTACTTCTTTTACGCGTTGCTAACGAATCTTATATGTGTTGTTCTTGTCCTAAGTATTATCGTTCATTACCACCGTTCGTTTGATTATTCTATTCAATAATCTTCCCTTGGTTACAGCACATATATAGCTAATACCGTCAAAAATGAATAATATTATATTAAAATAACTTTGAATAGTTTAAAAAAATGAAATAGGTCAATTGGAACCAGGCGATAATTAATAAAAATCAGTTTTCTCAGTAAACAGGAGGATAAACAGTTGTTTTTTTACACGTCAATCATTGCTTGTGTACAAAGATTAGAACCATATAAATGTCATCATGTAGTGGAGAGCCATGACCGCATACTTCTTGAAGAAACACTTCAGATAAAATAATTATTATCAGTCCGTGCTGGTGCGTACTACTCCTGAACACCCACGACCGGCCGGAGCCCAAGCCTGACTGAAGGCCCCCATGTAGTTCTCTGTATCTTATCAACATTGGTTGTTTTTTCCTACCTAAATTACATATTAAATTAAGAACAACGATTAAAAAGTGAAAAAAAACTTCACAGATTTTGACGTCATTCTAAAGTTGTTATACCAGAACATTACCTATTCTATTGTAATAGACTCTCCCACACATAATAAGTAGTAGTAGTAGTAGTAGCGGTCGCCAGTTGGGCTCAGTGGAGTTGAGTGAGTCAGTCGATGTCGGACATTGAAGTATCAACCATCACAACTAGATTGCTGCGTCATTAACTCTTATTTCAAGTTCTTAACGTTTTGTACGTCGGACCATTTTAGGACCGACTTAGCGAAATACAAGCCTCCACTGTGAAAACTACTCTACAACAAAAGTCTTTTTTTTTACCTACATTTTGTCAACCTACATTTTTTTTACTTACATTTACATACATTACAATTTAAACTAAGCACAACTGACTGCTAAAGGTTGAAAACAATTTCACAGATGTTGACGTCATTCTGAGTTCGTTTTTGTACAAATCCGTGAATCTATTTTGCGTATACTAATTCTAGAAAAAACATTATATAGAATTCACTATTTTTATCCTTAATGAGAAATATGTTAAAAGTCTTAAACGTTATAACGAGAAATATCTCAAGTTGATGTTAAAAATTGCTGTTAAACATTGTTGATTTATTTAAAATGGAATAAACTATTACGACATGTTTGTAATTTGTATTTGGATACATTCCATTTATTTTCCGTATTTCTAGTTAAATTTCTCGTCTACGTTGCATATGATCCACAATTGTACATATTTAGATTATAATAAAATTTGAATCTTCCAAGAATATTACCTGATGCAAATTGAAATGCAGTGGAGGTGGGGCCTGACTCATAGATTCGGTGGTGCTTTCTCATTGATTCGATCGTGATGGATCATAGGAGTATGATATGCCACCGAGGAGGCACGGTGGAGTAATGGATAGCGGCTTGGATGGAGGAATCGGAGAACCGAGTTCGAATTCCAGTCGAATCCATTACATTCACTTACGTGCTAATACCCTTGGGAAAGGTGTGAATCCTCTTCTTCTACCTCAAGTTATGAGTAAATAGCAGGACAGACTGGATTATATTGCTTTGGATGGCAACTGGTCTAGGAGAAGGAAAACTCTGAATTTAAAACCCTCGGAGGGTCGATTTACAGAGACCTGATACACGTAGTGTATCATGTCTCTGTAATCGGCCCTTCAAAAAGTGTGGATGGTCCTGTACGAAACCTTTACCATTATAATAAAAATCCCATGTGCTGCTGTCGGTTTTCTGGGAACTGATACATGCGGGTTTGGGGACAGCTGGTAAATTCCAAATTCCCATGAAACTCCAATATTGGAGCCGGCTCAACCCACCCCGGGTAAATGCCGTTACAATGACAAAGAAGAGAAGATGTATCATAGATTCGGAACATTGCATATTCCCTGCTATCAGTAACTGGGTTTTAAAATTGCACCAAGTAAATATATACACTGACAAATACTGGAATTCATTTGGAAAAAAAATTCTTTCTTTCATTTTTATTTCTTTTGAATTAAAAAGTAATCCCCAGGGCTCCACTGAGTCGGTATTTACTTCTTTTATATGCCAATATTATCCGAGAGGCATCATGATATATGTTTATTTTTATTTCCATATTTTTTTACAAGTCTGGGTATTCTGATATCTCTACAGAAAAAATTAACGAAAAACGTATGTTCTTGTAATAATCACTGTGCGCGTCTGTCGTCAATTCTGCTGTAGCAAAGGCACTATTTCCACCCAGACTAGTGTCCTTAGCAAGTCGCCATCGACTCCTTGTTCGAAATTTCCAATAAAGAATACGATCGTCGTAATGCATTTAATATTTATCTGTTGTCGACTTCCGTTCGCCATTACAATGACGCCTTCATTGCGCGCATGCGCGATATAGTAGTAATAGTAATACACTTCTCACTCAAATGATTTTGCAAATTTTACTATTTGCTTTATTTGACAAATGTTGGTTCTCTTCAGAAATATACACGGAATCAAATTTATAAGATTTCGTTCCGGTAATTTGTGTATTTTTATCTGTTTATTGAATTATGCTTTTATTGCGTTTTAAATTTGATCAACGGGAAGACTTCCTTTTGGTTCTTATTGACTTGTTGTTAGTTCTTATCGTTTATTTTCTATTTCAATCACTCTTTTCTAAATCACGTGGGCGATATTTTCAGCTTTTCTTTCTTTTTTCGTTTTTTCTATCTTTTCTCGTTCTTTCTCTCTTTTTCTCGTTCTTTCTGTCTTTTTTTCATCCGGTCTTTCTTGTTTCTTCCTTTCTTTTTTATTTTTTCAATTTTTTCTTTCTCTCTCATTTTTCTTGTTCTTTTCCTTGTGTTCTCTATATTATATATTGCCATCTTTACCATACAAATTATCATTTTTCATTCTTCAAATTTCTAATTTTCTACTTCTTCTCTCATAATTCTTTCTTTCTTTCTTTCTTTCTTTCTTTCTTTCTTTCTTTCTTTCTTTCTCAGTCATTACGTTTTGTTCATTTTTCTTTCTTTAATTTATTTACCGTAATTCTTCCGTCCTACATCAGATAATTTTCTTTCTTTCTTTGTTTCTTCTTTCTTATCTTCTTTCTTTCTTTCTCTCTCTCTCCCTTTCTTTCTTTCTTTCTTTCTTTCTTTCTTTCTTTCTTTCTTTCTTTCTTTCTTTCTTTCTTTCTTTCCTTGTTCCCATATGATCTATCTTTTTTTATCCTTCAACTTTTTAATTTTTTTCCCTTTCCTTTGTCGTCTCTCATTTACAAATTGCTTTCTTTTGTCTTTGTTTGTTTGTTTGTTTGTTTGTTTGTTTGTTTCTTTCTTTCTTTCTTTCTTCTTTCTTTCTTCTTTCTTTCTCTCTTTCTTTCTTTCTTTCTTATAACCTATCTCTTTCTATCCTTTCTACATCCTTCTTCTTCTTCTTCTTCTTCTTCACAAATCTTTTTCATTCTTTCTTGATATTTCTGACTTCTTTTTCCTTGATATTGTTTATCTTTTTCCATCCATCAACTTCCTACTGTTCTCTCTTTGCTACTTTTTCTCTCTCTTGCAACTTTCTTTCTTTCTTTTTTCAGACTTCTTTTTCTTTGTTTATCATATAACTTCGTCCTTTCTTTCCATCTGGCTCATTAATAATGTTCCTTGTTTTCTTTTCATATTTCTTTTTCTTACGTTCTTCAACTTTTATTTCCTGTCGTCCTTTTCTTTCCTTTCCTCATTCGTTGAATTTCTCAAGATTTTGGCTTTTTATACCATCGATATCTTTTTTCAAAACCATCTACACTTCCCACATCACGGTGTGTTGAATATTAATTCAACTTTGACAAAGCATCTGTGTCGATTCCAGTGATATTTAATTGTGTGTCGCCATTAAATCTATTCCAGTGCCTTCTTAGCAACCACTTTCATGTTTTCATAGATTCCCCAGATTTCTCTCCGCTACAAATTAAAGAGAATGACATATTGGTAAAAACGCGTCATCCGCTCATCATAATTGAATGTTTGTGCTAAACTGGCAATATACAATTAAATGAAACGAAAAATAACCATTCCAAACAAGTTATTGAATTGACAGTCTTCTTCGTCTTCTACTTCTGCTCCTCCCCTCCTTCTTCTTCTTCTTCTTCTTTTTCTTCTTCTTTCTTCTTCTTCTTCTCCTCCTCCTCCTCCTCCTCCTTCTTCTTCTTCTGCTTTTCTTCTTCCTCCTCTTCCTCCTCCTCCTCCTCCTTCTTCTTCTTCTTCTTCTTCTTCTTCTTCTTCTTCGTACTGGCTCCCTTCAAAACGTTGGCAATCATGGCTATCAACAAATCCCTAATCTTTATAGCTCTCAATAACATGTATATCCCCACCAATCAATACTATTCCCTTTTCTGCCAACCATTAACCCAAGCTCGTTAGATAAAATGCCCGTGGTTCCCGCCTGAAATCTGGCCTTCAGTACATCATGTGAAAGTCAAACTCTCCAAGCCATCTTTCCTCAATATATGCCCTGGAATATTTGATTGCCTTGTTTTGATTCTATGTAAAAGTGTTCTTTTTCGATACCATTTTTCTTCAAATGATTATGTTGCTCCATGTTATCTTTATGACATTCTAAGCATACTTCTTCAATACCACGTCTCTGATGCTTCAAGTCTCGCTTTCATCAGTGAAGACATTGTAAAGTATTCACTGATATATAGAGCAACCGCAGTCTGTCTAACTCTCTGCATTAGCAGGGACGAACCCGGACGCAGCTTTGCCGAAGGGCAAGGTTTCGTTCGGGGAGGTTGACAGCTAAGCGGATTCGAAAGCTATATTTTTGGCCGGGCCTACGGGCTCGGATGACCCACATTAAACTCGGCCTTGTGCCACATGCTACCCCACGTGGGAGGGACAGCTAAATATAACTGGTATATAGGTGGATAGAAATTTCATAGAAGTTCAGCACACTTTCCACTGTTGCTTTTGGCAAAGGTGCCAAGTTGTCACAGCTTAGCGGTTAAAAGAATCAAGAACTTTAATTAATGGAACTTACCAAACGCTTCTGAATGAATAGGAGCGTTCAAATATCACCATAGGATATTCCGTTCTTCTCAACTTGCGTTTTCAACACAATGCCGTAGATCGACGCCCAGTGTAAACGTGGTAATAAAAATGAACGAATAATTAAATGCTTTATTTAATTTATTAAATTTAGAAAAGTTTATGTGAAAAGGCAAATAAAAATAAAAATGCAAGCAAATACAAATCAAAATTAATAATAATTGCTGACAGTGCTTTATATAATATCCTTTATTTCCGATCGTGTGCTCTCTTTTCGTTGCCGTAGATTGACGGTCTGAGTAACAGTTGCAGTTAAAAGGATGAAAATTAAGATGAGAGAAAATAATTGTCAAAATTAATAATAATGGTCGACAATGCTTTATCCAATGTCGCTTATTTCCGATTCTGTGTTGTCTACTCCATTACAGGTGTTGTCCTATCAATTTACAGTTGAGTTGGGTAGATATAACCATCAATTATATAACAGTCTCTTTTCTCGCACTTCTCGGTTGTTGAACGATCTTTCGTTTCCATGTTCTACAGTCAACTGGAAAAATTACCAACAATACATATTTATAGTAAAATTACCAACAATACCTATTTATGGTAAAATTACCAACAATAGCTACTTGTAGTAATATTACCAACACTATATCCTACATCATAAAAGCAAAATGACTAATAATACCTTTTGAATTTTAAATTTAAATACAATGTCAGTCGCTATCTGCTGTCCTCCTGACTACTCTTCCTCTGTTGTCACTCTTTGGTAATGTTCCTGTTTCGAATTCTTCCACACTAAGTAACCCCTTGCGTCTCAGTGGCTTTATTGCCTTTCTTGGATTGAACTCGTTAAAAAAACGGCGAACGACAAATTGAAGATGTAAAGATCAAACAAATACATAACACTAAATATCTCGGTAATGTTTTAACAGTGAATGATAAATGCGACACCATGATCCTAACAGCCATTAAGATGGCGAAAGGTACCTTCCAAAAGCTGACCAATGTATTATGAAGCATAAAAATTTCGTCAGAAACAAAGAAAAGAGTGATCAATTGTTGTATGATACCATCGCTCGTGTGTACCAGTGGATGCTGGAAAATCTCCTCACAGACGGAGAGGAAAGTGGATGCAACAGAAACTTGGTTTTTACAAAGCGTTTAACCAATAAAATGGTAACAGAATCAAGAAGATGCAGTCGAAATTTCTTGGGAAGATAAATAATGAGGAAGGAAAACTTGGAGAGTTTAACACTCACGGGTCATATCAGGGGCAAAAAAGATAAGAGAAAGCAGTGGGCCATGTACCTAATAAACTTCTGTGAATGGTTGTTAGAACTGAGAACGGGAAGTTTGGCAAATAGAAAAACATGGATGGGAAGTTGTAGAGAGCCATAATCGCCCGCTTCCTAAAGGTACCTTGGCGAATAGAACACCACCAAAACATTTTATTCATGCTATTCTTGTTTGTTCTTCTATCTATCTATTTTGCAGATATATGTCTTATTATCTGAACCATTAATCTGAGTAAAATTTGATCAAAATGTATTATTCACATTTGATATTTGTTTGCGCTTCTGTCAGTACACTCTACAAATATATATATATTGCAATCTTCGTTTTTTTTTTAATATAATCAACTGATCCTATTAAAAAAAGATAGCTAGACATTATGACGTTATGCGCAGTACTAGATTGGTGGCAAGGTCTCATCATTTTGTAGAAGAAATGGCTAGATGTAACCGTAAGTTCTATGCTAAGAGTTTCTTCTCTCCCATTTCTGGCTGGTAGAATTCCCTTTCATCGTTTTGCTTTCAACTTTGATATTCAAAAATTTTAATTCAGTGTTAGTCATTACCTTTTGCCTCCATTCTTTTTCCATTTTTCTTTCTCTTTAATAATGTTTTCTGTTTCTCATATTCTCTCACACACAGTAACCCGTTGCGTCTTAGTGGCTTTATTGCCTTGTTTAGAGTGAAATCATTAAAAAAAGTAATTCTTCTTCTTTTATTGTTCTCTCACCTTATTAATATTTTCTTTTTTCTCATATTCTCTGATGCTCAGTAACAATTTGCATCTTAGTGGCTTTATTGCCTTGCTAGGGATGAATTCATTAAAAAAGTAATTCCTGTACTTTTATTGTTCTCTCTCCTTAATAATATTTTCTATTTCTCATATTCTCTCACACACAGTAACCCTTTGCGTCTTAGTGGCTTTATTGCCTTGACTGCGGTGAAATAATTAAAAGAAAAAAAAAGTTTTATTCCCATTTGATATTTCTTTGTGTTTCTATCAATATATTCTCTAAATATTTTTTTGCATCGACCAAAATTTATGTTAAATATTTCATTTCCATTGATTATTTGGGATTTCATTTACCCTTGGCACTTAAATGAATTCATATTTCAACAGATATTGTAGATCTGTATATGAATGGTATAAAATTGTTTTATTGAATTACTGCCGCTATGTATCCCATGATTCCATCTCGCCAATGAACAATGACAACTGATTATAATCAGAAACATTTCCTGGCTTTTCCCTGTAATTCCTTATGACCTTTTGCGAAATTCGGGACAGTATAACGACTGAAATTTTATGTAATATCGAGCTTGCTATATGACAGGAAATGCTGGACGATGCTTATAGATGAAGAAGAGAGTTAAAACAAAAGAAATATTGTCCTACAGAAGGATGTTGAGAATGTCTACACATGTGAGAAAGTACGAAAGTCTTAAAGAAAACATAAACAAAAAGAACTCTTAATATAAAAATCAGGTAGTTAACATTTCTAGGGTATATATTAAGGAAAGAGGGCTTATAAAACTTGACACTTACAGGGCCTATTGAAGAGAAGAGGGAGGGAGGAAAGAAGTGCGTAACATAACTAAGGAAGTTCTGTAAATGCCTAGTAGAACTGGGTTTGGGAGAGATGATAAGAAGACAACATCTACAAAGAACTATTAGGTTGGTGCAAAAACAATGACGTAATAATGTCGTTTTTTTACCTTAAAAATGCGTCAAAAACGACATTATTACGTCATTATTTTTGCACCAACCTAATATAATGGACAGGAAATTGTAGAGAGCCGTGATCGCACATCACCCGAAGCGATACAATACATAAGGTAGTGTTAATAGTAGTAGTATTATAAGAAAAAAAAAGATGAAGTCATAGTAAAAAGGAAGAAAATGTATCAACCCATGAAGAAAAAGTATTCATATGAGAATAGACAAATACAAAATTCACAAATACAAAAGAAAGTATTAAGAAACAAAGAAATCATTAGACATAAAAGATAGCTCTAAACTGTCATGCAATATCATTCTTCCTATGTGGCAGTGAATGATGGA